GACCTACCACCCACATTAATAGCCTCACCACCACCTTACAAGCCGCATACCAAATCACCCCCTTACAAGCCCCACTCCCCACCACTACCTTACTAGCAACATTCCCCACTATCACCTTACCAGCCCCATTCCCCACCATCACCATTCCCCATCATTTTAATTTTGTTTTCATTATTTGGGCTGGGTGAGGGGGCGGGTCTGTGCAGTAAAACAGAATATAAATAATGGAGTCAATTTGGCAGTGGGGGATGGAGGATGTCAGCCAAAGAGGAGAATCAAGGGCGGGGCCCGGTGCGGCAGGCGCCTGTGGAGCTGGAAATAAGGTAAGTTTTAACCCCTGTCTAAGGGGGCTAAGGAGGGGCAGGTCACCTAAATGGTGATTTTAACACTATAGGGTCAAGAATATATGTTTGTGTTCCTGATCCTATATTGTTCCTTTATATCTATTAAAATGTATGTGTAATAAAGCATGTGGGCTTGTATATGTATGGAGATAAATCTTAAAGGTTTTTCTGAAACTGCAATCTTTACATTTCAGGGTTAAATCCTTCTGGAGTGCCTGCTAAACTGACAGCTACTAGAGGGGATACCACGGCCCTGACCAAGTAAAACTCAGTCATGTGACGCGGAGGTACCCATAGAAAAGTTTGTGCATCCATGAGGAGCACTGGATTGGACATCGGAGGGGGAGATAATGCCTCCTCTGTGAAGTTGTGGGAGGCAGAGAAACAAGCAGCGCCAAGGGAGCCTTGACACTGGTAAAATGTAAGTTAATCATCTATTTTATTTATTTGTATTACACATGTCAGTTTGGGACTTTATTAGGGACCGGGACAATAAAGTGTTAGGAATTAGGAATACAGGTTTGTATTCCTAACACTTTAGTTTTCCTCTAACTCCCAAAGCAAAGTTCTCTTTACACCCCAAAAGCCAGAAAAAGTTGCTGAGTTTGGAAGGTCAGTGTCATTTAAAGTGTCTGTCACTTCTCCCCCAGCAGAGATCATCATTACTAATGGTGTCAGCCAATCCAATGCTTCATTATAAAGAAGCACTGAGAGGCTACTGTGAAAAGATCAGGTGATGGCACCAGGACGGGCCTTTAGTGGCTGTCTGATTGATAAACATGAGAGACGTCCCTAGCAACAAATGAGAATACAGCATTTTCTCAGCCTTTTCTTCTTAGTAATGCAGTAAAAAATTCTGGATGATGCTTCCATAGCAAGTGGATACACTGTTCCCAGATAGCTCCGTCTTGAATTAATGTGTATCGGAATTATAATTAGGGACAACATTCAGCTGTTTTGACTTGAGACATGATTTTCTATTATAATATATTAAAGATGTTACCATAAGCCCATCACTGCATGACATTCAGCAGTACACTCACTGTCTATAAAATGTGTAAATCCAGTGTGCATTGAAAAGATTTATAGTTAGTGATTTAAACTCTAGAGTAAATGCCTACTTGAAAGAGAATTATTGCATATTTTAAGGTAATGCTAAATTGCTTCTAGACAGATCCTTTTATATAGTGTGACACTGTTTGCATAACCAATTTTAGCTCTTATAACACATAAAAAATATTTTCACAAGTTTAATTTTATACGTATTAGATTCCCCCAAATTAATATACGTTGCTTGCATTGCTTCATTATGAGTTTCTCAACATGCAGTCCAAAGAAATTATAGTTTTCTGCTACCTGTGATGTTTGCCAGTTAAAGTTGTGATCCATATCAAACACTAATATTAATTGTGAAAAGAAAACACCATCAGTGTTTCTGTGCTTAGTAATTCACACTTTCTTTCTATTTCCAATTTAAATGTGCGTATTTAAGTCTTTTTACAACACCGCAAACATGCTAATATTGCATGTAAGTTTCTTTTAAAAACACCAAAAGGAAAACATAACATAAAGGTGGATTTGGCACCTTTGAGACTATATAATTACAGAATAGGCTGTGCAGTATTTTTTTTTACCAGTGTAATTATTATTTATAAACGCCATTATTTATATTCTGTTTTACTGCACAGAGCTCTGCCTTTTGCCTCTTACAAAGTTTCCCATCGCGTTTCTTGAGCTCATCGGTTTCTTAGTTTTAAGCATTCATTGTATGCCATCTTTTATAAAAGAAGAAAAATAAATAAATGAAGGATATACTCTTACAAACCAGGTTATAAATTATGCCAGTAAGCAAAAAAAAAAAAAAATGTTTGACAAGATTGGATAAAAAATGTTATAGCTTGCCATATAAGAACCTTTGTATCACAAATGCCAAAATATACCATCTGAAGGCTTTTTATTGTGTTAAAACCCAAATGATAAGTTATTAAACACCTGACTGTGCTCAGTGAGTGTGTCTTACACTTTGGTTTTATGGTATTAGTCGATTTTCAAAGGTTTCTCAAAAACTATGAAAGTATCGCAGATGAGAAGTGAAGACATACCTGATACGTCCGCGGGGAATTAGAGCGCTGGAAGCGATGATAATCCCTTCCAGCAGCTCTAATGATATTGCAGTGATGCCTCAATGTCGAGGCATCGCTGCAATACCCCCCTCACTACCAGGCCACCAGAGAAGAATGGGAGCTATCACTTCCGGGTTGCTCCACATGGAGCCAGGCACTGAGGCAGAGCATCAGCAGCCTTCAGGCAGGCTTCCGATGCTCTGCCTGTACTGAGTGCCTCAAGGGGTCGAGACACTCAGTAAATATAAAAAAAATAAAAATAAAAAAATAATTAAATAATCGGTCTTCTTCTTAAGGGGGGACAGTCCTCCCTCTAAAAGAGCGGTCACATGGCCGCAATAGGTGTCCACAGTGCTGCCAGCAGGGGGACTGCCTGAACTGACAGGCAGTCCCCCTGCTGGTGAAAAAAGTAATAAATAAATAAATGGTAATAAATTTTATATATATATGTATATATATATATACACATATATATGTGTGTGTGTGTGTGTGTATATATGAAATATATATGAGATATATATACATATATTATATCTATATACAGGGAGTGCAGAATTATTAGGCAAGTTGTATTTTTGAGGATTAATTTTATTATTGAACAACAACCATGTTCTCAATGAACCCAAAAAACTCATTAATATCAAAGCTGAATATTTTTGGAAGTAGTTTTTAGTTTGTTTTTAGTTTTAGCTATGTTAGGGGGATATCTGTGTGTGCAGGTGACTATTACTGTGCATAATTATTAGGCAACTTAACAAAAAACAAATATATACCCATTTCAATTATTTATTATTACCAGTGAAACCAATATAACATCTCAACATTCACAAATATACATTTCTGACATTCAAAAACAAAACAAAAACAAATCAGTGACCAATATAGCCACCTTTCTTTGCAAGGACACTCAAAAGCCTGCCATCCATGGATTCTGTCAGTGTTTTGATCTGTTCACCATCAACATTGCGTGCAGCATCAACCACAGCCTCCCAGACACTGTTCAGAGAGGTGTACTGTTTTCCCTCCTTGTAAATCTCACATTTGATGATGGACCACAGGTTCTCAATGGGGTTCAGATCAGGTGAACAAGGAGGCCATGTCATTAGATTTTACTTGGACGCGTGTGATGGAGCATTGTCCTGCATGAAAATCATGTTTTTCTTGAAGGATGCAGACTTCTTCCTGTACCACTGCTTGAAGAAGGTGTCTTCCAGGAACTGGCAGTAGGACTGGGAGTTGAGCTTGACTCCATCCTCAACCCGAAAAGGCCCCACAAGCTCATCTTTGATGATACCAGCCCAAACCAGTACTCCACCTCCACCTTGCTGGCGTCTGAGTCGGACTGGAGCTCTCTGCCCTTTACCAATCCAGCCACGGGCCCATCCATCTGGCCCATCAAGACTCACTCTCATTTCATCAGTCCATAAAACTTTAGAAAAATCAGTCTTGAGATATTTCTTGGCCCAGTCTTGACGTTTCAGCTTGTGTGTCTTGTTCAGTGGTGGTCGTCATTCAGCCTTTCTTACCTTGGCCATGTCTCTGAGTATTGCACACCTTGTGCTTTGGGCACTCCAGTGATGTTGCAGCTCTGAAATATGGCCAAACTGGTGGCAAGTGGCATCGTGGCAGCTGCACGCTTGACTTTTCTCAGTTCATGGGCAGTTATTTTGCGCCTTGGTTTTTCCACACGCTTCTTGCGACCCTGTTGACTATTTTGAATGAAACGCTTGATTGTTCGATGATCACGCTTCAGAAGCTTTGCAATTTTAAGAGTGCTGCATCCCTCTACAAGATATCTCACTATTTTTGACTTTTCTGAGCCTGTCAAGTCCTTCTTTTGACCCATTTTTCCAAAGGAAAGGAAGTTGCCTAATAATTATGCACACCTGATATAGGGTGTTGATGTCATTAGACCACACCCCTTCTCATTACAGAGATGCACATCACCTAATATGCTTAATTGGTAGTAGGCTTTCGAGCCTATACAGCTTGGAGTAAGACAACATGCATAAAGAGGATGATGTGGTCAAAATACTCATTTGCCTAATAATTCTGCACTCCCTGTATAATATATATATATATATCTTATATATAACATTATACCAAGTGTATTTTTAAATTTATATATATATAGTAATATAAAAATACACTTAGAGTAAAATTACACACGTATATATAATATATAATAACTATATATTGTGTATATATAAATATATATATATATATCATAAAAAATAAATAATACTGAAAAATAAATAAAAAACTGTAAAAAAAAATTTTAAATTATATATATATATATGTATATATATATATGTAATTTTATTTTAACTGTATTTTGATATTAATATATATATATATATTTATTTCAAAATACACTTAGAATGAAATTATATATATATCTATGTATATCACCTTAACGACCGTGGACGTACTATGTGCGTCCGACAAAAAAATGGTCTTAAGGACCGCTGACGTACCTAGTACGACCGCGGCAAGTAGGAGCCTAAAACAACTTACTAAGGAAATAGGAATGTCACACTATTCCTTCCAAGGATATGTAGGAACGTAGTACATAGAAAGAAAAAGGGAAAATATATATATATTATGCTATATTTTTTCCCTTTTTCTTTCTATGTATTACATTCCTACATATCCCTGGAAGGAATAGTGTGATATTCCTATTTCCTTAGTAAGTTGTGTTAGTACGTTTTAACACAGAATACAATTGTGATTTTGCACATTTATTTAATATCATTGTATATGGTATTTTTGACACCATATTGAGCATTGCACTGACACTTTTTTCACTTTGCAGGTATAGTGCACCTTTTTTATCTTGTATTTGGTTGATTGGATGTTTTTAGAGCTTTTTCACTGGTAAGGTGCTGCTTTACCTTTTTTACCTTTTTTACACGTATATATTGCACCACGATATTGTACATTTTTAGCGCCTTTTTGCTTGTTTCTTTTTGACTATATGAGTGGTCTTAAGAGATGACAGATAGGAAGTCAGTAGTGATATAAGGGAGAAATTAGGATAAATCATGCTGTACTGACTGACAATGCTATTAACAGTAGTACCACTGGGTAGTAAATAATGGCTTATAAACAGAGGTATACAGTTGAGATCTCATGTGTGGTCCGAGTGGTAAGCTAGGCCGACTTGTCTGCTGGTCAGGGGTAAAGGAAGGGCCAAACTTAATCATATCAAGCATACACATCTTAGGTGACACCCTAGGACCAGCTAAACAAGTAGTTTCTAAAGATAAGGCTAGTTTGAGACAGGTTCCTTGTGTCTAATGGTCCCCTTTCACCTGACAATAGGAGCATGGAGTCTCTGGTGCTCCGGTTTTCTGGGAGCCTTCTGGGCAGGTAGACGACAGGCTGGACATTTGTCCAAGAGGGCCCCCAGCCCAGATGGGGAAGAGCTGTGAGACGGAACTGTGGTGTGAGTTGGCAGCTCAGCATGAGTAGATGAGGTGCAGGTTCTGTCTGCTATGCGTTGCCAAAATGCCTGGCAGAGTCAATCGAATTTGGCCACAAACAATTCCTTCCATGTCAGGCCCTCTGGACTTTGTGGATGCGACAGTGCAGTGGCCATCTTAGCTCAGCCACGAGGTCTCAAGATCAGCACGAGAGTGTTTCTATTTTGCAGAGTGAGTAACTCTTCCAGTGGGGACCGGGATATCCCCCACTGGTTCAAAAGGGGGGAAGCGTGGCTCAGGCAATAGTCGATGCATCGTCAGTGCAGGAGATCGGTCGCGTCTCCAACCTCGGAACCAACAGCAGGCCGCAATGAGCTTCAGGGCCTGGTAATCACTTGGTGGGGCCAATAAGATCAGTCCAGGAGGTGCCCAGGTTCTCCCCTGATATCTTGAAGTGTTTTCAGTTTCAATATTTGCAGAAATGCACACTTTATGGAGTTAAATGGCAGGTTTAGTTGAGGAGCTCCCTCTGCATGCGTCCTGCTCGCTTGGCAGCCCGGCCACAACCCCCATTTTATACCTTTTCTAACTTAAATTATGTGAAAATGTGTGACTGTCCCAGTCTTATATGTATTATTATTATTAATATTATTCATCAAAATATACTTGTTCTTAGTGCTGTTTTATTTTATATACAGTTGCAAATAACTTAATTATATAAGAAACATTTCTAATTAAAAAAATGGGGAGTTATTCTATAAACATGATTTATTGTGTGTAGGCAGCTAATTGTAAAATTTAGAGTAAACTAAAAGAGTAAAAACTATATTTCTAAATAATATGGCTATTGTGGTCTAAATTTCACTATAATTGAATCTTCTAGGTCTGTGTATGGTGTGTAGAGTGTCCCTTCAAGTGCTACATTTAAAATTATGTCATTTTAATAATTTAATTAATTTATTTTATAGCAATATTATGGGAAAAAAATAATTATTATTTATTTATTATAACATTTATATGTAAAGCATTTTCCATATGAAGTTGGCTTAGCCCAGAACTCACAGACCATTACCGGCAAAGGGTTGGTTGCTTTAAATCCTGAAACATTCATATGATCTCAGAAGTAGAAAACAGGTTGAGCTTTGGGTGTTAGTTAAACCCAAGTTTTTGTCAATTATTTTTTCTATTTCCACACCATGAGGTGGTGATGGCTGGGAGTTAAGGCAGTATGGGATGGGGAACATAAAAAAAAATCAACATGTTACGGCGAGAATAGGGCTGAAAAGGAAAGCTGCAGTCTTAAATTTATAGAAGGGTGTTGGGGAAACACAAAGGAATGTTGTGCAAATCCTGTGATACAGTAAGTGATTTAGTTACTGTGAAATTGCACGTAAAACCAAATAATCTCCATTCTTTAGGAAAATAATTTTCATTGCGTGATAAATAAAGAATATAATCATCACACTCACTATGATTGACAAGTTCAAATTGTTTTACTTGCAGCACAACACTCCCTTATTAGCCTCAAATATATTTAAAGCTTGTTCAAGTTTCCGACATCTCAGTGTTAGGATATGTTATGAAGCATCGCTCCTGGGAACGTCACAACAACTGTTTGAGCTAAAATGACTCTAGATAAATGCATCCACAAATTGTTCAAACAGAATCAGAACTCCTGTAACCATTAAGCTATAGAAAGGAACCTTTGATGCGCCACGTGTGCTGGCAATCATGGTTACAGCATGCCATTCCCTGCCAGGCAGGCTCTGTGTAGTTACCCAACCACTCCCCAAATGCTGAACACGTGTGGAGTTCTCAGAATATTTTGTGGCAGACAAAGTATCAAATAGTCTTATCAAAACATTATACAGATTGATATTATGTGTACGTATATATTTATATAGAGAGTGAGAGATGGTCACATAAGTAGTAGCTAGGTACACAAATTAAGGCTTTGGAGGCTTTTTTGTTTATAACATTTTTGTATATTTTGTTCCTTTTTCCAGCCATTTATTATAAGCAATTGCCAGGTGCTTGATGAACATGATGTTCCTATTCCAACCAATGAGGGGTTCTGAAACAGCATTGGGACCCAAGCTTTGGATCCTGACCCAGGAGCTACAAGTCACTGTATTAGAACGCACTCTAAACTCTACAAAAACTAGTAGGGGGAATCCCAGTCTTCATTTGATGATGTATATACCCAACTATGGAAGGACTCCCAATGCTGGTGCAAAAACATAATGTTCAAAGAGCATTTGTAAATCGGCAAATTGTGCACATGGGAAGTGGCAAAAATTTTTAATTATGTTTTGTTTTTAGTATTTTGAAAGACTCTGAGATACACCTGGGAACTTGATAAATTTCAGTAAAACACTGAAACACTCCACAAATAAATATAATTGTCTCTCTAGAAAATCAAATGAGACCTTCATATTTAAAAATTATTACTACCCAAACATTTTAGCAATGCTATTCGTGTTGTATCACTTGCCGTGTTTTGTTGGAGCTTTGGCTTGAAGGAATGGCTACATATGATAACACTGAAGGTGTAGAGGCATTTTCATGAAATTCTTTGAATAGCTAGTAATTTGAAGATACCACAGATTACAGCCCTCAAGACAGACTACAAAGTGCAGAGAATGCTTTAATAACACAGTGAGTCTTTGTTATTTTTCAAAGGAAAGTGCTTCATATAAGGAAGTGTTTATAATTATTGTCCTACCCTTTGTAGTTACTAGAACCTTCTTCAGAAATTTAATAAAAGCGCACTTGGTTGTGCTTGAATTGTAATTAGGTTCTGAAGAGGAACCTCGTGTTCAATCATTCCAGAATCAAGTATAAGAAGACTTCTGTTACAGATCTTTCTAGATCAAGAACCTCGGATTGTGGCATTTCACACCCAACATGACCAATAGCAGATTTATAATGAATGACAAACCTCTGCAGTAATGTCAGTGGAGCCTTCAGGCAACAGGAACATAATTATTTTCAAAATCTTTATTATTCAGTACAATCCAAGACAGGGAGAGAGCAAAGCCACAGAGAGCTCTTGCGCATTTCACACTATTCTCAAGCCTGCAATGTCTGCTACTCTGCCTGGGATTTGCGGTTTAGCTCAGCAGACCTCTTGTCCTCACTGTATGAACAGTTAAATGTTTTACTCCCTGTAAGGGATATTGTGTTAAGTCGACCTGAGGTGTTATGTTTTGTGATCTATATGCACTTGTGATTGCACTGCATTCATTTGTATTTCTATGTGTGTTTTGAATAAATTATGTATTTGCATATGTTTCATTTTGGATGGAGCTATGGTGCATTATGTCTGTGTCTACATATCTCCTACAGGCAAAACATTTTATTGTACTGAAGAAAGAGAAAAAGAAAGAAAAGAAAGAAAGAAAACTACATGTCACATCAAAGCACAATTTTGGACATTAATAACTGATATGATATAATAATTATTAATATTATTACTATTGTCCCTATATAAAAAAGCATGGCTGACCCACATTTATTGGCTGAGGGCACTCTGCTGTGGCAATGCTTTGCTTTATAGAGCTAACTGGATTCTCCCTCATTAGCCAACCAGAAGCAGGGCTGTGCGCTAAAACAGTTTCACTACTTATTGTGGGAGTGGCACTCCAGGTGATATATATATATATATATGTGTTGACACAAGGAAAGGTTAAAGGAACTTAACATGTATAGTTTGGAGGAAAGACGAGACGGGGGAATATGATAGAAACATTTAAATACATAAAGGGAATCAACACAGTAAAGGAGGAGACCACATTTAAAAGAAGAAAAACTACCACAACAAGAGGACATAGTCTTAAATTAGAGGGGCAAAGGTTTAAAAATAATATCAGGAAGTATTACTTTACTGAGAGGGTAGTGGATGCATGGAATAGCCTTCCAGCTGAAGTGGTAGAGGTTAACACAGTAAAGGAGTTTAAGCATGCGTGGGATAGGCATAAGGCTATCCTAACTATAAGATAAGACTAGGGACTAATGAAAGTATTTAGAAAATTGGGCAGACTAGATGGGCCGAATGGTTCTTATCTGCTGTCACATTCTATGTTTCTATATAAATGATAATAATAATAATAATAATAATAATAATTCAGTACAAGAAATAAAGACTCAGAAATCACGTTTTCATTTTGTAAGTGCATTATTTGAAGGTGAACAATGTATTCTAAAAAATATAAAGCAAAGTTAATGTAATATTGGTAACATCAAGAGC